ATCTGTTGGACCATTATGATCCATCTTACAGAAATTATTTGCATTGTTAACAATTTGATTCCCTATTCTTTTAATTTGATCGACGTGGCGCTTCCAAAGCCTTCCATCGTCTAATTTAATTTCATAGTGTACTTTGCCTAACCTTTCGTTTACCTTTCCAAAACGCCATTTAGTATTCGCATTTAAATATTCTCTTACCGCGACTCTTTCGCCTTTATAAAAATTTCTAGTTACGCTAACGTTTTCTATTTCTCGCTTTCCATTCATATTTGGAAACATTAAATTCAATCTGCTTCTTAAATTTCTATTATACATTGCTTCTGCCGGAGCTTTCTTTAACTCTGGATGTGGCGTTACTCTATAATGAAAAAGTACCTTTTGCAGATTTGTTTTAATATTTCCATTAGTCACATTTAATTTTCGCAACGCTTGTTTTAAGGTTTGGACAAAACGTTCTGCCAATCCATTTGTGGCTGGGTGATATGGTGCTGTACGCTTGTGATAAATTCCATTATTTTTGAGAAAATTTTGAAATTCTTCTGCAATAAACGTACGCCCATTATCTGATACCAGCGTCTGCGGTAACCCAAAAGTCGCAAAAATTTCTCTACACTTTTCAATAGTACTTTGCGTAGACATGTTTTTTACAATGTGTACCTCTGGCCATTTTGTATATGCATCTACTAAAACTAGAAAAATATATCCCATAAAGGGACCCGCGAAATCTATATGCACGCGTTCAAAAGGTTGTGTAACTGCCTCCCACATGTGTTTAGTTTTACTATTCGGATTATTACTGAACCTGATACACGCTTCACAATTTCGTGTTATTTCTTCAATATCTTTGTCGATTTTGGGCCACCAACAGAAATTCCTACTCAATTGTTTCATTCGCACTGTACCGAAATGCCCTATGTGTAATTCTTTTAAAACTTCTTTTCTTAAATTCTTAGGAATAACTACCCTTTCTTTTCTAAAAATAATATCGCTCTGCAACGTGAATTCACCATCCTTAAATCCCAAAGGCACAAGACTTTTACCCTTAACTAAAGCTTGATGAATTCTTGTTAATAACGCATCCCTTCCAATCTCTTCTCTAATACATTTCGCAGTTACTGGTAAGGTTTCCACATTTTCAATTTGAAAAATATCTATAGTGTCGTAATTACAGGCTCTCTTTTCTTGTATGGGTAATCGTGAAAAGCCATCTGCATTACAATGCTCCACC